CGAAATCCGCCTGTCGATATCCTCAGCGCCCCCCATAAGAGAGCCAAGCTGCCTGATGCTCCGCCAGGATGAATCGCCTGACGTAAAGTGCACCCATTCCGTTTTTTGCTCATTTACTTTTAGGTTCCAAGACTGCAGTGTCGAGGATATGATGGGTAGTGATTCCTCGAGCCAAGGTTTACTGGTAGAGTAGAACGTTATGTCATCAGCGTACCCGGTTTGTCGAGGGATGCCTCCATCAGTTATAGGTCGCTGTGGGAGTCTTGGGCGACATTCTTGCAGGGCGGCTTCAAGGTAACAGACGAACAGCACGGAACTTAGACTGTCCCCCTGGGGCGTGCCGATGGTGGTGTGGAATGCCTTGGAAGTGGAGCTGCACATACGAACAGATATGGTGGTGCCATACAGAAGATGCTGTATCATGTGGACTTCATCGCGGCCAAGGAACGAGCTCATAACATCCAGGAGCTTGGCTCTGTTGATGGTGTCAAATGCCTTTGACATGTCTAGCCCCAAGGCATGACACTCCCACACGTACCTCTGTGACTTGGCCGATAACCAACGTTGGGTGAACACGACATCACTCGTTCCCCTTGCAGCTCGAAATCCCGACGAGGTGGGTCCCAGAAATTCTGACACTGCTGTTGATATCCGTGCTAGTATCACGAGTGAGAATACTTTCCTTATTGTATTGAGTAGGACTATCGGTCTCAAACTCGTGAGTGATCCGCGGGGTTTGTTTGGTTTGGCCAACGGGATTAGGACGCCTGGGCCGACGACGCTCGAGAAGTCTAGGCCTCGGGTGATGCTGGTATTCAGGAGATCTGCAACTATAGGACCGGTATATTCTGCGCCATATTTCAGCAGTTCTCCATGTACCAGGTCCTCTCCACAGGCCTTTTGGTTCTTCAACCGCTGAAGGGCTCGGCTCACCTTAGCAATGGCCACGGGAACCTCCAGCTTATGGGGCGTTGGGCGTTCGACTGTTCATATCAGCACAGAATAGAACTGCTGTCGAAAGTGCGCCGCGATTATGTCCGCTTTTTCCTGGCTCTGGGCAACAACTTCACCGTCGGTAGACTCAACCTTCACCGAACTATCTGCAGACTTCCGTTTAAGGGCCTTCGCCGCCTGAAACATCTTCACCGAATCAGGAGCGTTATCAATTTGCATTGTTCTCTTGTAATTTAGTGGAACCTGTATTGAGTAACTGAGTTTTATGTTTCGTTACATTGTCGACAGATCTCCTGTGTACCGGTTTTGTGGCACAATGATTTATATAGCCATTATATTTTGTCGTCCCCATTCTTGTGCAATCATGCATATGTAGGTAATGGTTGGTTCTCTTCATGTTATTGTGGCCAATTTCATAGATGTTGGTTGCCTTGTTGCTTTCTCTCCCCTCTCCTCTCACCCAAGCCATTCTGCATAAGCGAAGCTGTGGACGCAGCATACTGCTGCTACACTTCAACGCGGGAATGCGTATAATAATAATAATAATAATAATATCAATTTGTTCAGCAATTTTGTCGAGGCGATCATTGGCTTCTGAAAGCTGGGTTTCTTCTGATTTTATGGAGAACAGAACATTGGGCATCTGCCCTTGTTTTTCGGATGCCATTTTATGCTCCTTCTCAAAATGTAATTGATTATGCCAAAAATTAGGCCTTCTATTAGGCCTTCAATAGCAGGCATGCATAATAGCCTCATTGGGCATCTGCCCTTGTTTATTGGATACCATTCTATGCTCCTTCTTCAAAAGAACATGAATATCCCAAAAATTATGCCAGCATAATCCACTTACCCCTACCAGTCACCCATCATCTCCACTGAACATGACGGGTCTTCGGCTTTTGCGACCCTTTCTCCAGCACGCTGGCGATGTTTTGTTTGGTTTCCAAGTTTGTCAATATTTAATTACTTAATAGCAGGGATTCGTATACGACTCCCTGCTTAAGAGTAATATTTTTCTTCAATGAGGCAGGTGTTAAGTTGAACGAAAGAGCCAATGTGCACGTTCAAATACGGCCTTTAAAGGTAACAGTGCTGTGTTGGCGTGTTTGAATATCTGGTTTATTGTGCATGTACTACTACTTAGAGTGAGTATCACAAGGTGTCTATGCAGGTTCGATTCCTGCAACGCACATGAATTGGTTCGTAAGAGACTTTTTTTCGGAAATAATATTTGGTTTTTCCGTTATCAGGGTGTGCAGTTACCTGTTTTATCGCGTGTCCTTTGCCACGATCTCCCACGCGAAGAGGCGCAGAATGGCAAGCATCGACTTTTGTATTATTATATTACAAAGGTCTTGAACACGTGGCATTTCTCATGAGTCGGTCTAAGCCGGTCAGCTTGCGGCAGCGGTTAATAGGGTAAACACTCATAATTATAATATTTCAATGGAGAACTGTTTTACAAAGAATACTTTTTTTCAACCGGAGCACACGAGGAGTCCCGTCGCACCTTCCACTCAGCAAACCTGTAAGAGAGCACCAATCCCTGCTCAATATGCAGTGTCCCGCGGAATCCACGCCTCATCAGAGGAGTTTGAGTAGGCTGAGGAAGATTGTGCTTGAACTCCACCACTTATACATGTATACGGCTCCCCAGAGCAAACCATCAACAGGGATACAAACTTACAGATACACCTAGTTTCCGACGCGACAAACACCTCGTGAACCCCCAGGTAACAGCTTGAGTCAGAGTCGTCATGGATTTGTACTCAACAGGCGTTGAGAGCCAGTAAATATTCAAGGCACTGTCACCTCCAACAACTATTCGCTGATTCGTGTGAAGAACAACGACACGAACTGAGAAGTTTCGGCGGTGTTAGTCATGAAGATGATTGTTCCAACGAGGTAAACACGCCTCTTGCCGAACTTGACCTTTCACTGATTCAATTTCTTGCAAGCCTGTCGAGTGAAAGGTGCGGCGTGCTCCTCATTTGCGCCGCATGGCAGTCGTAAGTCTGTATAGTAGCCTCAGGTCGGCAGGGTCATCAATGCCCCACAATCACTGCTCCGTCTCGGTGAACCGCCTGCTCATGAGTTTGCACGTTTGTGTTAGTCTCCGCCTCATTGTCTTTTCGCTTGTTCTTTTCGAGCTGGCTATGTGAACATATAAAAATAAACACAAAAAGTGAAATACAGTGAAACCTCGTTAGGAAGAACACTAATAAGACAAATGTTTGCCTAAGAAGAACCAATATTCGTAACTGTGTTGGACTAAAAAATTAATGTTTGGGTGCTGACAAGCCCATGTCCTTTCTTTTCTGTCTCCTTCTCCTTTCTCCTTTCCTCTCTGATCCTACCTTCTCTGTCTTACATTTCTGGAAAAATGACTAACAAATTGTTCCCACTGGCTTCGTGGAATTTCCGTAGCTGCTCCTCATTTTGTCGACGAGAGCAACTCGCCCGCTCGCTCTCGGTTCGTGCTGTCGATGTTTGCGCAGTTCAGGAAACTAAAATTCTGGAACAGCGCTGCTGGGACTTGCCACTGGGCTACCAACTCTTCACTATGTCGACAAACAACAGGTTTAGCGGAGTTGGCGTGGCCGTGGGCCCTACTTTGTGGCTATTCTTGTCGTGCTGGAAAGCTGTGATTAACAGAATTGGTTATGCCCTATTCTCGTTCCCTTCGTCAAAAAATCGCCGCTTGTGTTTATAACGGCGTATGCTCCGACAATACGAAAGTCATCGAGTAACCCTGAGCGGCGACACAACTTCTTTGAGTCGCTCACCTTTTCTCGCCGTACGGTCGTTTTTGTCGGCGTTGACTACAAATGCAAAGGTTGTGCACCGAAGGGCAGCTGACAACTTCAATTGTTTGGGAAGCTGGTCCAAGGGCAGACGCAATGACCACGGTGAATCACTCCTGTTGTGCGCGGATGAATTGGACATGAGGCTCTCAAACACCGTGTTTCAACACCCAGCACGCCATATTGCGACGTGGACAGGAGCGTTCAAGCGCCAGGGTGTTACAGTGCCTCAACCAATCTACAATCAAATCGACCCTATCCTTGTCCCCAATCGCCTTGTTAGCGGCCTCAGAAACGGTAGGTCATACGCAGATTGTGAATTATCGTCAGATCATAGAATGGTGGTTACTACCATGGTAGATCTCCATCAGATCCGCAGAATCAGCTTCGTCCGACGCAAGAAGAGCTCCATGATCTTAGTTGACAAAGTACCAGGCAACAACGCACTGCAAGATGAATACCAACAGAAGCTAGAAACTGCGATCACAACATCAGCAGCGGATTCTTGGGACAATCTCGCCACCATCATTAAGACAAATCCATCGCAGCCAACACACCAGCCTAATTATACTGACCGCATTCCAGCTCCCTTCTATCCCTCTTTGAGCCCCTTCGCTCAGCCTTAAAATCCGATTATCAGTTCTCTCCATCTTCCTACGGTGCACTGCTTTTACTATTGTTTGTACTATCTCAATCTCAAATTCTCCCCATTATCGTTTGCAAAGCCGGTGCTTCCCTCTTGGATGGACATGTTTCTTTTCCGCTATGTATCGGCGCACAGGAGTAACGATGATTCCGAGACCTTTGGTCGGAGGAGTTACTTTTGCCCCGCCCCCACTTCCATCCAATATGCCCCCGCTGTACAGCATCTGTTGGTACTGTGGTATTCAGTAAAGAAAAACAAAAAAAACAACGGCAAAGGCAGTGCTCGGAGTGAGTGATGCCACCGCACACCATCCAAACTACATCACGGATGACCACAAATCAGCACCCTCTCTAGTCAGCAGAAGTCACTGCGCATCAAGATAGAGGCCAAGAAAAATGTCAACGTGACATCGCAGCTTAAAACACAGCGCAACAAGGTCCTGTACGAGTTATGGTCAGACATCAAGAAGAGATCTATATCCAAGCTGGAGTTAAGGACTGCAGAAATAGAGACAATGAGAAATGTTACAGCAAAGATGCATGCTGCAGTCACGTCTCTAAGAAGGAAACCCACAGAGATCCACGTTCAGAACAGCGATGGCACTCTGGTAAATCGTCCAGAGCAAAAAGTGGAACTTATATCAGGTCAATTTCAGACTCAGTTTTCTCATTCCAGTGCGGAACCCGTTCGTTAGACAGGTTACACAGTCGGAGGTCTGCAAAGCCATAAGCAAGCTGCAGAATAGGCGTTCTCCAGGCCCTGATGGTATCCACAATGAGCTACTGAAGTATGGTGTGTGCCCAAGCCTATCATCTGCCGTCACCAAGATCCTCCAGAGTTCACTAGAGTCATCAACACCAGATCCTTCCATCAGATCGGGACTGCTTATACCCTTGCAGAAGCCAGGAAAGACAAGAGGACCCTGCACAAGTCCACGCCCCATAGCCCTACTCAATGCAAAATTCTCTCGACCATCACTCTGGCAAGGATCTCCTCAGAGGTTGAGGACTACCTCCCTTCATCCCAGAGCGCATACCGACGGGACCGGGCCACAACTGATGTGGTGTTCACTCTACGGATCCTCAGCGGCATTGCTGAGACGAAGCAATGGTCTCTGTACAGGCTCGGCATAGATCTCTCGAAGGCCTTCGACACGCCACACCGCTCAGATCTCCTTAGCACGGTTGTCAGCGTTGCTCCTACCACGCCGGATGTGCTACCCTTAGTCCACACTCTGCTGTCAGATACCACCCTTCAGGTACGTGTGCAGGGAAAAACAGCACCTCCTTTTAGGTCGAACGTTGGCACACCACAGGGTGACAGTCTTAGTCCCATTCTATGTACATGCTACTTTGAGAGTGCACTGCGAGGTATCAGATCTGACTCCCCTCCTGACGACATCCTACCACCTGAACTGCAGTATGCGGATGATCTAGACTTCATTGGAACTGATGAGCAAGAGCTAGAGGACGTTCACGATCAATGTGCCGAGACCCTCCCAAGCCATAACCTCACCGTTAAGTCCTCCAAAACTGAGCGAACAAAGATGTACCTGGCTGATGATCTGGAGGAGCGTGGTTCCGAAGCAAGGAGAAATGCGAAGTCGCTGGGATCACGGCTAGGCTCAGCGCAAGATGTCCAAGCCAGAAAGGCCCTAGCAACCCAGGCATTCTGTTCGTTGTACGCACTCTTCAAGCATCAATCTACCTCACTACTGCTTAGAGCTGCGCCGTACAAAACCTGTGTGAAGCCAGTGCTGTTGTACAACTGTCCGACATTTGGTCTCACAGATGCCACCACCAGAAGGATTGACACCTTTCATCGAAGGAATCTGAGAACAATGGCTGGCGCTAAGTTCCCAAACACAATTACCGACAAGCATCTGTACGACATCTGCGGCTCAGCACCGATTTCGCTCGAGATTGACCAACGGCGTTGGGAGTTCCTTGGTACCGTGCTGAGAATGCAGAAGAGCTCTCCCCCACAGCGTGTGTTAGAGTTTTCAGCCACCGCGAGCCTGCGCGGTCGACTGGGCCGACCCAGGACAACTCTCCTCTTCTCAGGACTGCCTAGCCCGACTCGGCGTTCGCCTGGGCACGCTTAGAGGCCTTAATCAGCTGCGGCAGATTGTAGGGGATTAGTCACGGTGGAATGGCACCCCGCGGCACTCATCTTCCTCTGCCGAGCCGAGTCCTTGACTTATCCCCTGCAGGGTGACCATCGTGCACGAACAGTCTCCCGCCTTTCTGACATTGCCACTCGAACTTGATAATAGAAGCTGCTTTCCGTATGTGCAGTTACATTGAGCCGTGGTGTTTTTGTCTTATGTTTGTGAATCCTTCCCGAAAGCAAATACTGGTTTTATGCATTCGTGTAATTACTCAGCTTTATTTGCAATAATAATAACAATTTCAAATTTGGACTTTACGGAGAATTTCAATGTTTTAGGAAATGAGAGGCCACATGCCACGTACTGCTCTTTTCTCTCCGAAACTCAACACTTGCAAGCCAGATATGTAAGAAAGAAAAAAATCATCAGTCACACCGCCAGGACTCGAACCAGCAGCGCACATGATTGTTCAGAAAGAGACTTTTTCCGCAAAATTTATTGTTTTACGGTAATCAGAGTGCGCAGTTACCTGTTTTTTTTACGCCCGTACTTCGCCATGATCTCCAACCGGAAAAAGGGCAGAATGGCAAGCATCGACTTTCGTATCCTAGATTGCCTACGTCTCGAAGCCTTGACACTTGTCATGTGCTGTTCTAAGCCGCCCACGTTGTGGAAGCGATTACACTTGATTCGAATAGCTAGAGACAGTAGAGTGAGACAGCGTCGCGCGCGCCACAGACTAACGATCTTCCTAGCAGTTCGTGAGATGCACTGGTCAACTTACGGTTGCGAGGCCATTCGTTCATCGATCAAGACGCCGAGGTATTTGGGAACATTAGAGAGGTTTAGCACAACGAAATTCGTTGTTCATTTTCGTTATGCCGCTGTACGAAAAAGCCGACCGAAATTCGCTGAATTTTTGTTTAGCAGAACGTTCTCCACGAACTTCGGTGTCGCTAGTGGATACCGTGGATGTCGCGGAAATCCCCGCGAAATACAAAATAATCAATAGTAATCCTCGTCACTCCCCGACTATCGTAAACTGGTCGCCTCACCACTCGAATGCTTCTTGAGCAGGAAATGCAACCGATCCACAAGCCCTTTCTTTTTCAGCCCAGCAAATCTCTCATCGCTCTGGGAAAGCAGCAGAGCTGCTTCTTCATTCGTGCGTGATTTCCGCAAGAAACGGCATCGACTTCACAAGGCGGAGCATCATGAGATCCATCTGCGTATCCCACGTAAGTCGTCGTCCCTCCTGATCACCAGAGGTAACAGCAGCTGCAGAGACTGCAGGATTTTAGTTCGGCGCCGACATTCTGGTCGTGAAAACAAGAACCTCAGAAAAAAAATGTCGAAAGGAAAGGAAAAATTCTCATGTGATCGCGGTACGAAAAGTCGACAGACCAAACTTCGTTGGATTGATGTTTTCCGCGAGTGTGTGTCCCGAAGTTCGTGGCAAGTTTCGTTACTCGTCCCCGGGCTTCAAAATCTAACGAAAATTCAGACGAATTTCGTTGTGCTAAACCTCTTTAATGTCCAGCATTGACTTTCGTATCTTAAATAGCGAAGGTCTTGAAGCCTTTACACTAATGATGAGTCGGTTTTAGCAGTTCAGCTTGTGGGAGCGGTTATGTATGTATGTATGTATGTATGTATACTTTATTTGAATTCGCAAATCCAAACGAGCACAAATGCTCAATGACAAGGCAGCGAATATGTTATTATGTTACAGGGAAGGAGGGTTGGGGAGAAAATAAGGAGAAAAAAAAGAGAGAATGGTAGATATCTCAATGAAGAGCGAAGCGTTATCAAACTACAAGTAAGCCAGCGAACGATAAGTCGATAGCTCTGTAACCCGCCTAATAAACTAAGTACTTTTTTCAGGCGTGCAGTGGACTGTCATTAAAACAGAAACAGAAAAATAATAATAAGGCACCCATTTTGTTTGTCCAGGGGATGGCACACGCCTGGTAAAGAGAATAAAATAGAGAAAATAAAATAAAATAAAAATAAAATAAAAACAAACAAACAAAGTACTAACAGTTACTGCTAACGAGAGTACTTGCTACTAACATCGGGAGGATGAAAGGCCCAACCCTGCCCTGCCAGTTACGGACCTACGGGGGTCGCCATGGCAAATAATAATGGTAAACAGTGAAAATCAATCACAGACAGGAAGCTGTCTCAGGGCAAGGTTCTAATCATAACATCAGGAAGATCGGAGGGTATACGGTACGACGGCAGCTTTGAAGCTGCTGAGAGACGACAGTACTCTGACTGCATCCGGTAGGACGTTCCAAAGGGCACTACCTCGGGAGGCAGGGCGAGATCGTCCGGCGCGGGTTCGTGTAGCTGGTAGACGGAGCCCCAGGGCGAGATCCAGGCGCGTCCTACGATCCGCGCAGCGTACGAAGAGCTCCTGGAGGGATGGACTCGCACTGGCGTGTATGCACCTCCAGACAAAGACCAGGACCTTCTGCCGATGTATTTCTCCAATCCTGAACACCTGCATGCGTTCCAGGAGATCACTGGCACGAGAGAACCCCGGCCGGCCATAAACTGCTCTTGCCCCACGGTTTTGTGCTACTTGGAGCCGGTCGGTCTGGGCCTGAGTGAGACCTGGGCTAAACGCAACGGACCCATACAGTAGATCCGGCATGATAGCTGCCTTGAAGAACAGCACACGGCTAGCAAGTGTTAGCGACTTTCGTGTCCGCCACAGAGTTCCAATTTTCTTATTGGCTTTCGTGATGCTCGCATCGACCTGGGGCTGCCATGACATGCGTACATCCAAGGTGATGCCAAGGTAGCGGGCACTGGTGACGCTTGGCACGGGTATGCCATCGCACTTTACCACAACGTTGGTTAATAGGGTAAACACGAATATGATGTTTCAATGGAGAACTGTTTTACAAACAATTGTTTGGGGTCTTCGGGTTTATCGATCCTTTCTCGAGCACACTGGCGATGTTCTGTTTGGTTTTAAAGGTTGTTACTATTTTCCACAGTGAGACAGGTGGAGAGAAGAGCCAATGTGCACGTTCAAGTACGGCCTTTAAAGGTAACAGTGCTGTGTTAGCGTGTTTGAATATCTGGTTTCTTGTACATGTACTACCTCCGAGTACGTATCACAAGGTATCTACATGTATGCAGGTTCGATTCCTGGAACGCACATGATTATTTCTTAAGAGACTTTTTTTGCAATAATGTTTGGTTTTTCCGTAATCAGAGTGTGTAGTTACCTGTTTTATTCCCGTAGCTATGCAGAAGACGTTACTTCAGTAACGTCTGGCGCTAGCCAGGGTCCACACAGCTTTAATTCCCGTAGCTATGCAGAAGACGTTACTTCAGTAACGTCTGGCGCTAGCCAGGGTCCACACAGCTTTAATTCCCGTAGCTATGCAGAAGACGTTACTTCAGTAACGTCTGGCGCTAGCCAGGGTCCACACAGCTTTAATTCCCGTAGCTATGCAGAAGACGTTACTTCAGTAACGTCTGGCGCTAGCCAGGGTCCACACAGCTTTAATTTGGTGTTTGTTTGTTTGTTTGTTTGTTTGTTTGTTTGTTTGTTTGTTTGTTTGTTTGTTTGTGTCACGCCTGGCGCTATCCTGTATCTGTCCCGTACCGTACCGTACCAACAAAGACAGCTGGCCACAATATTTTTGTTTGTTTGTGCCATCGGCATGCCTGGCGCTATCCCGTACCTGTCCCGTACCATCAAGTGTACGGTACCATCAAGAGAATGAGTTTTATATGCGAAGTGTATCGGGGAATGTAGTAGTAGTAGTATTCTTTTATTTTCCATCGGAAGCCTCAACAGTGATGAACACAACTCTTAAGAGGGCCGATAACAGGGTAGAGGGGTGTGGGGTGAGGAAAAAAAATAAAATAATAATAATAGGAGATATTTAAACTAAACTAAACTGATACTTGGAACAATAAAGCAGCAGTAAGCAGTAAGCAGTAAACACAGGTATACAATACAAGCGATGCAGATGAATGAGGCCGTTTGCTGAAAAGAAGATCTAAATACTTCTGAAAAGACGCTGCGTCTTTAAGCATGGTCATAATGGGATAGTGCAAGAATTAAAGAGATGTTTTTAAAAACGAATTTAAACTAGGAACGCAGTAAACACAGTTATACAATACAGGCGGTGCAGATCAATGAGGGAGTTTGCTGAAAAGAAGATCAAAATACTTCTGAAAAGACGCTGCGTCTTTTAGCATGGTCTGAAGGTGCTTAGCAAATGTAGTGCGGTGCTGGGTGCGCCACTCCACAGGCAAAGAATTAAAGAACAGGGCAGCACGATTTGAAAAGGAATTGACACCGTCAGTCGTCCGGAATTTAGATATTGCAATAGCAGCATTAAAAGAGCTTCTTGTTGTCCTAGGGCCGGTTGAAACTTGAGGGAAAAGGTCCGTCAGATTTGGGAGAGGGAAAACGACATGATTAACATGGATAAATTTAGCAATGCTACGAATAAGGTAATGTTCAAACGGATCAATCGACAATCTAGCTAACAGCGGCATGACGTCCTCTTGTAGTTTCGAGCCACAAGCAGCGCGTACAGAACGACGATAAACGGACGAGAGTCGCTGTCGGTCCTTGGCGGATAGCTTCATTGCAAAGCAAGAGCAGCAGTATAATAAGTCAGGCAGGATAACCGAGAGGATAAACTGCCGTGTTGCCTTCAAACTTAGTTGCCGAAAACACCGTCGAAGAGCGCCAATTTTCGTGCAAGTCTTCCTAACGATAAAGTCTATGTGACCAGACCAAGAAACATCACTGTCTACAATGACTCCCAATGCATTCAGTGCAGTAACATTTTGTGTGGATTTGTGTGCGAGGCCGAGATCCCACTAGCAGGTTGGCTGGGCCGCCTGTCGAACAACCCGGGAATCGCATGTAGGCCGATAGCATAATAATTATACCGTGTATACAGTCATGTAGATGTATAGCAGGGAGTCATATTATGTAAACGACTCCCTGCTGT